GGGATCAAGCCCTGTGTCGGGCTCCATGCTCAGTGGGGAGTCTGCTTGAGGATTCTCTCTCTCTCTCCCTCTCTCTCTGCCCCTCCCCCTGCTCACATTCTCTCTCTCTCTCAAATAAATAAATAAATCTTTTTAAAAAATTGATTTTAGTGATCTAAAGTCTATTTTCTGATGCATATTTTTATATTTTTATTTTTGTAACCTATGTGGTTAGTGACTTTATGTCTAGGTACAAATCATGACCATTTTAGAGTAAAAATATCTGTAAAAGAGGAAGAATATTGGATATCCATTGTTCATGAGCACTGTCTTGCTACTTCACGAAGACAATTCCAAGTCACACTTTATTTCTGAGCTGGAATTAATACTACAAATAGGTATCATTGTTTCAAAATGTCCTGCAAAGGAAGGAGACAGATCATTCTCATACCAGATGCTTCCCATCCCCAGTGGGAATATGCAAGAGGTTTTTACGAGCTAGGCTCCATAAGCACACAGGATAGGAAGCATAGAGCATTATGCTCGAATGAAAGCAGAAGAAAAATGTTGGTCTTGGGAATGCTGGAATTGGATGAGAGGAGAAGAGCCAAGGCTTTGCTCCTGTAAAAAGAATCATAAAACCTGTAAATGAGCAACCTCCATTTTCGGAAAATAAGAAAAAAGGTTTTTCAAAATGAGAAATGCTAAAGAGTACCAGAACTTTCTCTTCACTCTAATTGCTTAAAATGTATGACCTCATGTCTTCATGTACTTACACACCCACACCTAAGTGGTCATAAGGAAGAGAAACTTCAACATCATTTTTCTTGCTACTGCTATCAGCCTTTGAGGAAATGAATATCCATAATGCCATTAAAAAACCCTTAGAGTGTACAGTGACAGTGATAATGGGAGAATACGTAAGATAAAATAGCATAAATCTTTTCTCTCAAACACATGACTTGAGGGACGCCTAGGTGGTTCAGTCGGTTAAGTGCCTGCCTTTGGCTCAGGTCACAGGTCATGATCCCAGGGTCCTGGGATCGAGTCCCGTGTGGGGCTCCCTGCTCAGTGGGGAGTCTGCTTCTCCCTCTCCCTCTGCCTTCCCCCCGCCCCCCACCGGCCACCATGCATGTGCTCTTTCTCTCACTCTGCTCTCTCTCTCAAATAAATAAATAAATAAAATCTTTAAAATAAAACAAAACACATGACTTGATTTTTCAGTACCTACTCCAACGACAAATATATTGGGTAACTAGATTTTGGAAACAAAAATACAAAGGGGAAGTCGTCTTCCTTTCTGGAGTGCAAACTTCAGGAGATCAGGAGCATTTTCTGTTTGTTCACTGCCATATCCCCAGGGCTCAGAGTATAGTAGATGTTCAAAAAAATATTTGTTGAATGAATAAGAGGCAAGTTATCTGAATATGCTATCAAATTTATCTTTAAATAATAATAAAGAACATCTGTTTATATTCACATTGTAGTGGGAAGATAATTTCCTCTTTATATTTTTGTTTCCAAAATCTAGTTACCCAATATATCTGTATGTATATTGTATACAATTTCCCATGAGGAGTGGATTTTTATCTTGTTTTGTAAACTGCTGTATCTCCAGCACCTATATAGTATAGTGCCTAGAATATTGTATGCATTCAATACATTTGTTGAGTGAATTATTGCGTATATCTTGTAGAGGGAAACATGATAATCATCGTGAAAATGAACGTCCTTTCTATGTCTGCTTTCTGGTTCAAGTCCCAGATGTATGCCTGCTTTGCTTGATGACCTAGAGAAAACGTTGTATTTTATATAGGGTACCTGATGGTTTTATTCATGCCTTTTTTCCTACTCTGAACACAAGGAATCCCTCTCTCATTTGTCCCTGCGAGTGTCCCCATATTGCTATCAAAACCTAGTTTACTGTGGTAAACTCCCCGCCGTGTGGAGAATTTTCATGATTAACTGGATTTGAATCCTCATCTAGTGTTAGTTACCCTGTGCATTTACTACGATTGATAACAATTGGCACAATGGCAGCATTAGGAAAACGTTATCTAATTTATTAGACTTTTCTTCAGCTCTTCTCTTCAGTTGTCATTTCTTGTGATATCCTACCCTCCATTGCCTTTCATTCCTGGCCTGGCATTTCGCTGGGTCTAAGATATATTACTGACACTCTCCAGCCCCTCCCTACCTCTGCCCCACCGCGCCCCTGCCCTGTTAAATACCTGCTAGAGAACAACTTCTCAAGATCTAAGGTGGTAACTGACTCATCTTATAATCATATTACATAACTCAAGACATAGTTGGTGCAAGTGGAGAGAATACTGATCTGATCATCATGAGACCTCCTGTCTAGAGCTAAAGAGTTCTGCCATTAGCCAGTTTTGTGGACTTGGGCTACTCAAACTCTTTGGGCTTCACTTTTTTTTTTATGTGTAAAATGTGGATGTTCGTCTAGATCAGCATTTCTATAAGTAAGTGCTGTAACACTGGTTCAAGGATATGTCTTTCAAAAATACTTTCTGGGGTCACATTCATTTGGGAATTGCTATGTATTTAGAATAGAATATCAGCAGTTTAGGATTCTGACAAGTCCTGAAATAAACTATTTTTCCTTATTTGATAATTGATCTTTTGAGAGGGGCGAAGGGTAACATGTTGGTAGTTCCCTAGAACTCTGACACGGCACAGAGTCATAAAATCCCAGGATATATTCTGGTCCTGTGAATCAATTTCATGGATATGGAGCCTAGGAGTAGAGGCTGCCCAGGGAGAGAGGAATGGGAGAAAGTTCTGGGAGGTGGGTAGAGGCCTGCCTACCCTGTGCTATCAGTGTCATTCTAAGAAGTCTGGAATGTATCCTGTAGGGGATAGGAAACCATCCTTAGATTGGTTTTTAATCAGGGGAATTACATAGTAAGTATTTGTGAAGAGAATTATGGAACGAAAAAGAAAATTCTGGAGTGCTAAGGCAGATGGAGGGGGAAGAGACTGGCAGGGAAACTAATTAAGATTCTGGTGGAATGAGAGATGATGACAGGTTGGATAATGACAGTAGTTAAACAAGAGATGGAGGAACCAGATTTGAAGGAAATCCAGGAGCTCAGCGGACTGTGGGAAGTGAATGGATACCGGACAGGAAAGAAAGAGGAATACAAAGGGACTCCACATTATTAACTTGGGTAAATGTTGTGTGATTATAACATTTACTGGGATAGGAATTCGGAGGAGTGAACTGTTTCATATTGATTGTGAATTGGACTGTGGAATCGTCTACGAAGAAGAATTTTTCTATAAAACCCATCCGTTGATTTTTGTGTTTCAGGGTTCCTTAGCGATTTAACTAAAGACTATATATTTAAAAAAAAAAAATGTATTCTAAACTGAAATTTGGTAAGTACTCAATACATTCTTGTCTACAAAACAGCATTTTTATCTATATATTTCTTTTGATTTTTACCTCTGACAATCATTTCTAGGACTTCAAATCCATTTGGTTTTTCACTCAATCAAAACCACTTTATTCTTTCAGCTTTGGATAATCCTATCCACATTAATATCTCAGTAGAAGTTTGTGAGATTATTTCCATTTTCTAGAGGAAACAACATAGAACACCAACAATTTTCATTATTTAAATATTAAGCCATTATTTTTGCACCAATCCTAAATTTGGCCTTCACACTAAATATGATTGATGCCAATACAATAAAAATACATTGTGTTTATAGTCAGAGAGTGGGATTGTTTCAAGAGCACTTTTGTATGTCAGTGAAAAGTAAAAAACTATTCTTTTAACTGACCCAGTTTCTTACCGGTCCACACTTGCTTATTGTATAGAACTTAAGGCTCTTTTCTTTAGGGAGAAAAGAACTCTCTTTTAGACACAGGATGTAGAAACTAGCATGACCCAAATTGTTTATACAAAAGCAGTCCACACCTCCCTGATTAGGTCAGAGAATTTTGCCTTTTACCTGCCACAGCTGCCTGCTATTAGCACTAGAAACAAATTGTACAATCTATGGTCACTGAACTATGACCACCTTCTCATTTTGAATTTTTTTGTCTAAGAGGACCAGGAATCCAGAAACCGAGTTGGTGGAGAGGAGCTGTTGCTGGATGTAACTTATCAGGGGGAGGGAAGTTCGGTGCCCACCTTAACAGTACACTGAGCTATCAAAATGGCTACACATTATAAAATGAACACAATGAGGTCATCAGAGAGTGGCTCCTGAGTATTTTATTTTTTTCCCCTTTACACTGTAAAGCAATAAAGATAAATGCTGAATGGTCTTGTAATAGGCAGGGCAGTCTCTCACTCCTCACTTCCCCTATCTATGCTGCATTCATAGCAGCTTCGTGGACTTATTTTGAAATAAGTTTAGAAGCTTTGGAAGGCAGGTCCATGTCACAGTGGTTCTCACTACTCTGGGGTTCAGGATGAAAGGTGACTGGGTGTAAGCCTTCAGATTTTACACATTTCTAAACGCATTTTATTGCCCCTGAGAGAAGTTTTGCATTGTTGAGAAAATGCAATGCAAAATGAGTTGAGACACAATGTCCCTTTATCTCAGAGCAAAACAGTTTTGCTTTCCTATAGTGGAAATGGAGGGCGGGGAAGTCAAGTTGTGGTTTCTGAAATCCAACAACCTAGTATCGCTGTGCCACTCTCTCGCTGATCCAGCGCCGCTCCTTAACTTGATATCTGTTTACTCTAGAGGAGGCAGTTTTTGAGAAAGGATCATAAATATCCTGGCCCAGTGCCCCAGGAGCCATGACAAGCAAAAGAACATACTCGCCTAGTGATAGCCCTTGTGATATTTAAATGTGTGGGTTAATTTTTTATCCACTTTAATAACTGGATTATTCCCCTCCACCCTTCCTTTGCTTTCTATTTCTGCTCCGAAGCCGTGGGCACAGAAATCTCTGCAGGCAAATTACTCCAGAGAATATTGCAGGACAGTCCTACAAGGAACAGTTAGATTCACAGCATCTGGATTCCTGACCCTTTTCCGACATGGCAGGTGTGAGTGGCTGTATAAAATATTCTATGTTTATCTTCAACTTCTTGTTCTGGGTAAGTGTTTTGTTTTTAATCTAATTATCAATTTTAGGCAAGAAAGGGGACCTTGATACAAATACCATAAACGAGAACAGACTCTGCACTAGAGAAATAGGAGGAGGAGGAAAATGTATTTTCCGTTTACTTGTTTGGATTTGTTTGTTCTTTCTTTGGTTATTTCAGTAATTGAAAATGAGCCAATGACTCAAGAAAGTGGACTTCAGGATCTGTGAGGATAAACATTTCATAAATGTTTTGATATTGTTGCAAAACAATCACAGAGGAAAAAAAATACCCCTTAATTAAAGGACAACTATTCTTAGTTGTATATCATGCAGGCCTCCCTAGTTTAAGGACCTTGTGGGAAAAATTTGGTCTGATTCCACCGGAGCCCAGCCCCTGAATCCTAATCTTTACATCTGGGTCTGAAACAGGTGAATGATGGGGTGTCAGACGAGACAGATGAGGAAAGGATCATTTTCAGAGACCCAAAGAACAAACAGTGGGTCATAAAAAACTTGAGAGGGAAACAATACAATTATTTAATCATGGAAAAATGAAACTTAGTAAACTAGGTTAAAAAAGTTAGTATTTCGATGTGTCATCACCCCATCTCTTAATCAACAGGGTTGGTATTTTAGCAGGTCGTATGGGTTTTTTGGAAAGCCTACTGACATAAGACAGTTAATAAACTGATAAGTAGCATTAAGTATTAGAAAATGGAAAAATAAGATATGGAAGGCAAAAGGTAAAAGGCAGGCTGGGATGTTGGGCAATTGACATCATTTTCAGTAATATAGGGTACAATTAAAGATTGTTCAGAAGTAAATCAGTAGAAATAGCCCAAAGTCCTTAAATGAAAAAATCATTTTGTATGCTGGATTTAAAAAATGGCTCCTGGGGGCGCCTGGGTGGCTCAGTTGTTAAGGGTCTGCCTTGGGCTCAGGTCATGTGGGATCGAGCCCCGCATCAGGCTCCTTGTTCAGCAGGGAACCTGCTCCTCCCTCTGCCTGCTGCTCCCCCTGCTTGTTCTCTCTCTCTCTCTCTGACGAATAAGTAAATAAAATCTTTAAAAAGAAATGGCTCAGTCGTTAAGGGTCTGCCTTCGGTCATGATCTTGGGGTCCTGGGATCGAGCCCCACATCGGGTTCCCTGATCGGTGGGAAGCCTGCTTCTCCCTCTCCCACTCCCCCTGCTTGTGTTCCTGCTCTCGCTGTGTCTCTCTCTGTCAAATAAATAAATAAAATCTTAAAAAAAAAAAAAGAAATGGCTTATGCCGCATAGGCAGGAGGGAGTTCTGGTTTTGTTTTTTACCTGGTTACCTTTAGTAAACAGACAGCTGGTATCTCTATGTTGGCATACTTCTGTCCTGTTAAAACAAAGACGTACCTAATTAAACTTAACTATAGGAATACAGTCTTGTACAGAATGACTTTGCATTCAATGTCAGCAGCCCTAATGAGTACAGATGAAATATTGGTGAAGTAAATGAGTATGTAAATAAATAAAATAAAATAAAGATCTGTCCCTTTACTTCCTCTTTTCCCTAGAAAAACAGGCTGCTTTTGCAAATATTAAGTATAGGTCATGAATATATGCCAGTGTTTTAAAGTTAGTCCTGATAAATTTCTTTGCTTGAAATATTTAAAATTGAGGGCGCCTGGGTGGCTCAGTCGTTAAGCGTCTGCCTTCGGCTCAGGTCATGATCCCGGGGTCCTGGGATCGAGACCCACATCGGGCTCCCAGCTCAGCAGGAAGCCTGCTTCTCCCTTTCCCACTCCCCCTGCTTGTGTTCCCTCTCTCACTGTCTCTCTCTGTCAAATAAATAAATAAAAATATTTAAAAAAATATTTAAAATTGGTTAAACCTTGAGAGTAGAATATAAACAAAGGAATGCCTATGTACTTTGATTGATTTTGTTTGTAGCTTTTTGTTATGGAGAATTTTGAACATTCACAGAATAGAAAAGGGTGATCAACCCCATCATTGAGCCCCAACAGTGAGGATATCAAGGCAATTCTGTGTGCATGCTCTCATTCACTTTCTCCCCCCCATATCAATTTGAAGCAAATTCCAGATACATCATTTCATCTGTAAATATTTTAGTATATATCTCTAAAAGAGAAGTAATTCTTTTTTAAAAATGTAACCATAATGTCATTATCACACTAAAAACTTAGTAAGACTTCCTGAATTGATTATCAAATATCCATCTAGAGATATTTCAGAATCTAAATAAGGTTCATGTCTTGCTATTGGTTGATATATCCTGTATGTCAATTTTCATCTTTAGGTTCTCCTTCCATCTTCATCTCTTTTTTCCCCCTTGAAATTTTATGTATTGATGTGTGTTGTCAGTCTTACCGCATTTCCCACAGTCTGGTGTTTGCTATTTGCACACCTGTGGTATAGTTTATCATGTTCCTCTATATTATCTCAAATCTAGTGATCGCATTTGTTAGCTTGAAGAGATTCGGATTGTTTTTTGTGGGGGAGCACAACTACTTTAGAAGTGATATTGAGTTCTTTCATCAGGAGGCACATACTGTCTGACCGTCTCACTTTGTGATGTTAGTTGCCACTCAAGAACCTAAGAAACAGTCCATTAAGAGTTCCAAACTGGTGATATTCTATTTCCATCACCTTTTGTTCAAGTATGAGCTGGAATACTTTAAATAAAGAGAAACCCAGCATTTATTGATTGGTTACCAGTAGTACCCAGTTTTTATTAAAAAAAAAAAAAAGGCAGCATAAATGCTTCTTACTTTTTACTTAACCGATTTCAAAATGATGAGTTAATTTTCTGGTATCATGCAACAGTAATAAGCAAGCATTTCTTATCCTTTTCTTTGTTGATATGCAGTTTATTTTATCTTTGGCCATTGGGGAGCATCTTCATGTTGGCTCCTGAGTCCTTTTGACATGATATTAATAGCATAACTTCTTCCCCATTGGTATGACAAGATGTTCCAGGCTTATTTCCCTAGCTCCTGTTGTATAAAAACAGCATACAAAGTGCATTCACAAAGATTGTGAATACATTAGAGGTCAGTGTTTCATTAAGGAGCCACCCAGGAATTTGAAATCTCAATTTTAAGCTGACATGACAAAGAGAGATTAGGCAAGGGGCATGTTAGAGGTTCAGGATTATATATTATATATTTAAGACTAGAGATCTGTACCGTGCTGTACCCAGATATCGTCACTGCCTTCCCCGGATTCTCTGATTATTTTATGGTCCCCATCATCTCTTTGTTTTTCTGATAATGAAGACAAAGTCTTTCTGATGCATTAGATTTCAGTTAGATATTTCTAACTTCCCTGGGGTAAAAGACCTTGTTCTTCCCATCCGCATATCAGTGTGACCTACAACCTCTATATGACACATCTTGAAATGGAGTCTTTGAGTAAGAGCAATGGCGGTAAAGAACAGTGATAACTTCTCAGCCAACAGGTGACATCAATAGTTTCATTCAAAATTTAGACAGCAGGAGTCCCTGAGGTTAGGGAACCACTGCTATTTCTACTCCCCTCTATCCCAACCCAGAGTTCTCCATTGGAATTTTATGATCCTTCATAGGAAATTAGCAATTTGTCACATTCCTAAAGTTTACTTAAGCAACAAGTCTAACAGTCCCACTGATGTGGTTTTCTTATAGATATCCATGGCCTTATGTGTTCATATGCATTCTTTCTGGTGTAACTTGCAAAACTAAGCCTTTGCAAAGTAGGGCCAGATGTTGAAATATCTCTGAGATATGCATATGGTCATGTAAGCTAAACATACCAGTTTCTTTTGAGAGAGAACTTGAGATATGTCGCATAAATATGCGGCAATTTCCATTTGTCAGAATTAGCAATTGAAGAAAAACATGTAAAAGTGGAAATCATTCTTAACCACTGAGGCTAGTGTTTGATGTGAGTCACAGTGAAATTGGAGGTGCTGTAGAGAATGGATAAATTCCAGGTACAAAATCTATTTCTCCAAGTCTTGTGTCAGAACAGATGAGCCGCCCAAGTTTCCTTATGCTCCTCTCAGATAGATCAGGCTGGGGAGTATTGCAGATGCTGGGGTATGGTAGAGCTACTTAAAATTAGAATTTGCAGCGGTTGTACTGGGTGTTTGGCTTCCTTACTGGGTTCAGAAGAGACACTTGAAGGCAACTATGGAGACACTTCGCTGTGTGCTTACCACTCACTGATACAAGTAATCAGTCATTTGGGGCTGAAAAACCATGAGGGCAGAGCCTGCTGAGAATTGAAGTTTTTAATTAACTCCACTGGTGTAGGGCATCAGAAAAGCAGATAGTGTGTGAGTGCTAGGAGGCCAGGTCAGTAAATCAGCTGCAGTAGGCCATGCTTGTAGAGAGAAGGCCCAGGAAGCTCTCCTCCAACAGGTCTGAGAATTACCATCACGTCATTGAGTGAGGCAAAGCGCAGACCCTACTCTCCATGAATAATACATCAGAATGGGTCTCATCTTATTCAAGGACGAATAAGAGAAAATCCAGCCTAAGTCCTAATAAAGACTGCTGAACAAGTGACAAGGAATGTCACTCTGAAACCTCAGAGGACAAGCACACATCCCTGAAAGAAACATTCCAGCATCATGGAGCAAGGATCTGGGAATTGGCACCCACAGTGCAATGGCAGAAAACAACTCCCTACAAAACAGAGGATGGAGGCCAGGAGAGAAGAAAAAGCTAACTGGAAAAGCACAGAATGGGATGAAAAGGAAAGTGGGTAAACTAAAGAAGTACTTCATATAAACCAGAAACCAAATGATAGAGTTAAAATCCACTCCAGAAACATTAAATGGAGACCGAGAGATAGAATCCCAAATTGAGAAACCCTCCCAGAGGAAAATCAAAAAGAGATAAGTGAGGTGGAAGAAGGTAGAGCAGAGAATGGAAAACCAGAACAATTTGTATTCCTGAAGGAGAGGACACAATAAATGGAAAAAAAAAGATAATTTAATATAAAAAACAATTCTCACAGGCAACAATGGCATGCTC